CTGCTGCACGACGAGTCACGAATCTGATGAATGTCTTGCGCGCACGATGATGGCCCCGGAGCCGTTCATGCCAGAAACCGCCTGCGTAGGCGACACGAGCTCTCTTCGCTAGAGCACCACGGTCGCAATCAAGTCCGATCCGGACGAGGCGTGATGCTTGACCTCGGCCCCAGAATACGCATTTGCTAGCGTTCATGCAGGTTTGGCCAACGTACGCAAAAATGGTGAATCGGGATGCTCACCTATTGATTTTGCGCTTCAAATGCTGACGACTCGCGTCGAGGAGCTTGGATCCAATCACAATCACGAGTGTGAGTCAAGAAGACTGTCCTTTGTACAATTCACTATGATCACAACCGCAAGGGGTTTTAATACCGTCAGCCAGCAGCAACTACGAGTCAGTCTAGTCTCATGTGATGGTATCGAGAGGCAGACACGACTTCTCACAATCCTTGTCTCAGATATTCCGCTCCAATCAGTTGTAGACCACTGGAAAGATCTGCTGCTGAATGAGAGTCTGAGCGCTCGAGTATGGAGAGATGAAGCGGAGGTGTCTGCCGAAGTGAGAGGGGAGCGTGAAGAGAGGGCGAAAGAAAAAGCCGTACTACTTTGAGCTGAGATATAATCTGGATAATGATAGGAAGAGCAAAGCTATGCCATGCGGGTATCGTGATTCGAATCACGAATAATGTGAGGTCAGCTTAGTTCACGATTCGTGATTCGTGATTCGTGATTCACGATTGTGATTGTGATTGTATCCGCGCAGCAACGTGCATTTGATTTGAAGCGCTTTGCGGCGTGCACGCATGGCTCGAGCGCGATCAACATCCCTGCCGCCGCCGCCGCCGCCCAGCACTGACGAGTCACGACTCGTGACTTTGATAAATTGCGCCCATCCATGCCGCTGAGTGGCGCCATACGCCGCCCGCGCATGAGTTAGCCTGCAGGGCGGCGGAAAGCCGCCGGCCGTACGCCTGATGATCGATATATATATCCGCAATTAACTCGACTCAGCGTGGGCAAAGGTCGCAGCGCAAAAGCTCTAAATATGACTCGTGACTCACCGCGACTTGTGACTTTGACTGAGTCCTAGGCCAATCAAAATGCATCATCTGCACCCGCACACCTCACCCGATCGAGACTCGGCCAGGCTCACCTCACAAGCGTGCTTGTACCGATCCACCACTTATGACTGCACGTTGCAGGTAGACGTCTGGCCGTCAGAAAGTGGAGCATCTGTGAGAGGATATCATCTTGGCAGTCCGTCCGGAGTCAAGGTTCAGTGGTGAGAGGGACCTTACAACCAAAGGCGGGGGCGTCTCTTCTGTACGTACAGAATCCACCTTCGTGATTTCAATACCCATTTCACTCAAAGATTTGGCAGGTTGCTTCGACTGAGCATCGAAATTTCTCGCTCTTTAGTCGCCTTCGCGCGCATGTCGAGCCCTTATCTTTGAAAGTTCAAGACAATTGCAACATGAGAGAATCAGCCGACGATTTTCAGAGTCGGAGAGGGGCCTTCTTCACATGCTTGTCTTGCACGAGAGTCGCAGCCACAAGTCGTGCGTGAAGAACGCGGCCTAGCTAGGGCCCATCCGCGTCTTCGACAAATTAGATCACAAACAAGGCTCGGAGAATTACGCCCATAGCTCTGTAGAGCCACAAACGTCATATCTATCAGATCTTGCCTGCGACTATCACAGACAGCCAAGATATGAGGCTGTCTCAATCTCGGCCTAACCAAGTGTATGTGAAAGCTGGCGTCAACGATTTTTTTTGCCTACTTCACGCTTCTGAACCCGCAATCTTACTTGGGAGATTCCCCGAACACGCGTGGCTCTATGAGGAGGTTCAGGTGCTCCTTCCGACATTCAAGATCGCAGGACTATAAAATAAATCGAATCAAGGCTCGAACACCTCAACATGATCCGAGGAGACTTGAGCGAAACGTCAGGGATGATTGACAGTGTAGCCATGCGACAGCCTGTGCGGCTCGGAGAGATCGAATCGGCGTACATATTTCACGATTGCTGCCACAGTCAGAGTGCTTCGGGGCATGTTAAGGTGGCGGGGACTCGCAAGCTCCTCCCCTCTGTGCAAATCACTCATTGGGTACTCGTCACTCTGGCTGCTATGGATTGCCCGGTGCGTGCCGGTGTTTGAAGTTTTGCACGTACCCCAGATCACCGGTCAGCAATCGGTCTATGTGCGCTAGCTGATGTAGAATCTCTGGGACAACATACGGGACAACGGTCGACTCGAACTCTGGCACTTATCTTTGTCTCGCACTCTAAGCAGTCACAGTCAAGTACGGACCGTTCAAGACTGACATTGGAGGATACAGATCTGTTCAGAAAGTGCAGTGCGAAGAGGCGCACGTGGTTGCACCGAGTTCAGACATCATCAAACATACCTTCGGACTGTCAACCGGCGAAGCAATGAGCGTCGTTGCTGTGATCACATCGGGAAGAGAACCTTGTCAGTTCCAGGCTTGCACTTGGCTATGGCATTGGGGACACATGCTGGCAGATCGAGCAAGCATGCAGAGATCAACGTCGCAGTCGTGAGACAGCACCGCTGTCGTTGCTGAGCCGCGCGCGCGATGGATCTCTGTCTTCCCCGGGTGGGACCCCTTGGACATCGACTTACATCAGATGGGTACAAAAGCAGCTTAGAGATGCTCTCCTTGATCCAAAAGACCTACCCGCGTGGTCAAGTCGAACTCCTTCCTTCTTGGTTCGGCGCTTCGATCCCAACTCATCTGCCCAAGTCGACGCGCGTAACTCTTCAAGATTCGAGCTGCTACACATCCTTCCAGACCTCACCAACATTTGAATCGCTAGGATGGACCGCTCAGTCAAGACTGGTGACCGTGGTGAGTGCACTAATTCCATCGGACCATTCACCAGACGATGTGCTGATCAACCCTTGTCTGTGCTCGTCTCGACGTTCGCAGTGCTTTTCCGTATTGGTCCCAACCAGGTCGAGGGGATTGTTCGTCGTATCCTGGCCGATAACAAAGTGAGTCTGAGTTCCATCGTTATACCTCGCCGCACAGGCTCGATTGGGGCAAAGGGGAGAGTGCCATTCAGTTGTGGCAGATCAGGATGCGGTTGATGCATTGGGCAGTCAGACTTCTGAGCCACGTTGAACTCGATTTGCATTTTTCCGCTACACGTCAGGGCGAGATCATCCTTGAGCTGGAGCACATCAACGTCGATGGATCCACCACGATGATGTGGCGTCATCTCAACAAGAGTGAGTGCGCCACGCTGATTCCAAAGCATGTCGTGTGGGCTTTCATGTGCTCACTGCAAGGACTTGGACCACCTTCTGCTCCACAGTCATCTTCGTCTAAGTGTCCAACGAGTCGGCGTCATCGCCAATATTCGATTGCAAGATGCCCGCTAGCCAATCAGAGGATCCTCTTCTCGTCAAGCTCACACTGTCGGTCTGGATGAAACTTCTCGTCAAGCTACACGAGTCGAATCTTCAAAGCCATGCTGCATGTTGCTCCGTCTACTGAAGATAGTCTTGTTTCGTCTTACACTGCGCTCCATCTACGCCCTGCATCTCTTCGATTTCGCAGACATCATGTGTCGCACATGCCTTGCTTTGTTCGACGCCGTCGTATTGCGTACATTTTGCGATCCGGACGCCAGGCCTTGATTCGCGTCTCCTCTACTTAGCTGCTTCGTCTCTGCAATCAACTGATTAGATTGCGATCCTCTGTCGCGAGCTCCGCGTGAGCTTGAGCACTTGAGGGTCTGCGTTGAGCTGCTGCTTGCAAGGAGCAATCAGGAGCTGCTTCCGCTTTGCTCGGCCGCCCTACACCATGGTGAGTTCCGGATGAGAAGCATTAGTAGAACCAAACAGGTTTTGCTCGTGATCCTGCAGTCAAGCAGCGAGACTTGATGGGAAGATTACTTACTCATTGGAGCCAGCCAGCTTGGATTCTAGATTGATTGCACCGTTGTGCACTTGCCTGGCTTGAGCACGGCTTCCTTGCTCAGGAACTCACCGAGCCATGCAAAAGCTTTGCGAGCGAGGACCATGTCAGGGCTGCTGCTTCGTCTGTGCGTCACGTTATGCAGCATCTGTATACAGCACCTTGTTGCTGCTCGCGTCGCCCTGCGGTATGTCCGGCGCTAGGCATGCACACCATTGCAGCACGAAAGATGCAAGACGCCGGCAGACGGCTGTCGAACGCGGGAGGGCGCAGATGGAAATCTTGATTGCGTACGGGTGCGAGGCGTCCGCGAATGTGAATGTACAGTAGGCCTTCATCTGCTCTACAGTCCTGAGGCAAGTGTTACGGACTGACGAGCATCGTCAAAGCAACATGCTTGCCGACCAGCGCAGTCGAGGCCCATCCCTCGGGCGACAGCTAGGAGTTCTGAAAAGTGACGCAGCAGCAGACATTTGGGCGCAAAGCCAAGTCGGAGCAATCGTTCACGCGCCATTCGTGATTCACTGCTGGCGTGACTGACTGACTGACTGACTTGACTGCCTTCGATCGCGCGGCGTTTGGGACCAAGATTGAGCCGCGGGCAGAAGTTTGCGCGACGGACGGGACGACCGCATGGTCACCATCATCAGAGTCGCGGAGCATGTAGGTGCTGTGGACACG